GCAAAGGACACCCGCTCAAGACTGTCTGCCTTGAAACCATGTTAAAGGAGGTGACGTGTTTCCTTAACTAGCTCCAGGGCAGAGCTGTCAGCAACAGGAACTCTGGGCGAGGCTGAAGAAGGAAGCCAGTGTGGCTGAGCTGGCCGCCCAGGCCTGGCGGCAGGTCAGGTGAGGCTCCGGGAGGCCCCTGGTGCTCAGGGAGCCCAGGACCTCCACCGAGGCCCACCCAGACAGGAAGGATTCACTGTTCGGGCCATCGTCAGGCAGGAGAGATCTCCATCTACAACAGAAACAGACAAGTTATGGACCAGCAGGATTCATGAAGTTGTTAAGCAAGACTGAGAACAAACGGTTTTGTGGCCCGTGGCTCACCTGGGTCTTTGTCCAGCTGCCGTGGGGACAGCCCGTAATGCTGTCTGGGAAGAAAGGCTGCGATCAATTCTCAGGGAATAGACACTTGAAGAAAAGTCAGTGTTAGAACGCCAACACTCCCCGCTGAAACAATATTATTGGAAAGCACTCGCACAGGACAGGTAGGACAGGTGTTTAATTAATTTTCAAAATCCAAAATATGTGGCTAAGCTCTTCTTAAATATTTTTTTTCTTCAGGAGGCACATGAACCTAGCAGACCTTTCTTTACATAAACTACCCCTGTGCCTTTTGGAAAGGGAATCAGAGCTTGGTCTGTTAGCCCCTCCAGCTGGGTCTGGCTGGTGGGAGTGGCCCCTGAGCTGGGGATTAGGGGCAGAAATGGGAATGCCTGTGACTTCAACATTGCCAGCAAAACTGGCTAAAATCCAGACACTGCTGCCCATTTTCGAGAACTGATGTTTTCAACCTACTGCTCTATGAATCAAATCTGTTTATATCAGGAAAAAAATTCCTCAGAAACAAATTTAGAGAAGTGCTGTCCTTTAAACATAAAAGCCAATTTGACTTCACACAGCAGGCTGCTTCCAGAGTGAGACAATTCCTACCATGAAAGCCTGCAATGGGTGTCCTAGTGACCAGGCACCAGGGGGTGCATAGAAACAGGTCACCTTGAAGACTCTCACCCACGACATGACTTCAGGGCACTCATGGGGTTTTGCGGGCACCAGGCCACTCAGGACTTGTTTGTGCTGGCGCCACGTGTGAGCGTTGGTCTGGGCTGTCCTGGGAGGCATTGGCCGCCCTCGCGCTCTTACCTGGGCTGGGAGAGGCACCTACCCCTAGACTCTGCCCCTGGCAGTGATTCACCTGGGGTGGAGGGTAGGCGGCGCGTGGAGGAGGAAGGTCCTGGGAAGGAGGGTGGAGGGGCCTAAGGGAGGTACATCTCCTGGGCCATCACTGCCCTCATGAGGGACTGGGGCTATGCCAGGCCTGGGAACACAGGTAACAAGTCTCACCCGCATGCACGAACACTGGCTGGTGGGCTCGGAAACTTCCAGAAACACCGTCCTTGATTTCCCAAGGTGAGATGCTGCCAGGTCCTGTTGGAGGCGGGCGTCTGGGGTATTTTGATCTAACCCCAAATGCCAGGGGTCTCCGCCCATGACTTCTCTGGGGTGAGATTGTCTCTCCCAGCCCCAGAACGATCACAGAAGAAGGGTCCAGAACAGAACGTCCTAACACACCGAGAGCACTGAGGGCATCACATCCTCAACCTTGAGAGAATGATCTTCTGAAAAGTGCTAAAAATATGTTAACTTTGCTGTTTATTGAAAAGTATAGAACTATTTCCATCAAATGTCCTTTCACAGAAAAGTATTTAAAATTCCTGCATCCAGCCGAAAGGTCCTTGGTTCATTCTTAGAGCCACAAGGAAATATTCTTTAAACCACAAGCACAACAAGCCAGAGTTCTCCCCAAAAGCCAGCATGCTTCCGGGACGTTCGGGCTCCCACTGTGGACAAAGGGTCAGCACGAGCGTGTCCACAGCCTGCTGCCTGGTTGGTGCCCACGCCAGCTTCACCCACAAACTTCAATGGCAGAACCCCACCCTGCCATCCTCAGTTTTTCGGGGGTTTTCCCTTCCCTTAAAGAGCAAGGGAATCTGCATATTCTTGGCACACTCTTCCGTTGAAATAGGAGAGTGTCGCTGTGATCATGAGGGAAACTGCTCAGTCTTTTTAAAAACTAATCACTACAGATGGACACGTCACAATACCTAGGAAGACGCTTTGAGCGTTCTTGGGTTAATTATCACGAATGTCAAAATGACGCCGCGATCACGTATGGTATGCACACCCTCTGCACCCAAAGTGGGCTGGCTCGTTTTCAGTGGGCTCACGGAGATCAAACATTACCTTGGCTCTTATGACATTTTTCAAAGGCCAGAGAAGCCAACTAGTGTGTCAGGTCCCACAGGGAATAACACACACACACACACACACACACACACACACACACAAAACTCATAAGAAATAGCAATGTTTGAGGCAAAAAAATGATGCTTCCCGTGGTTTCTATCCAGGGAGCAACGACTGTTAATAGGTAGGATGTCAGTCTGCTGCTGAGAACTAATCAAAGTGACTGCGAACCAAGTTGAACTGAATCAAAACACGAAGTACAGACAGTCCTCAACGGAGAAATCAGCTCAATACTCGTGAGCCAGCAATAAAACCACCACCTGCTGAATTTAGTAGCTAAGCCAATGTTATTAATCCTATGAAAACAAGGCAACTATTTTGTTTTTTCTGGAAGCTTCCAGAACCATCCAGAAAGGACCTCGGTGTCCGACTGTTCTGCACTGCCTGTGTACTTGGCTCTCTTCATCTCAAAGCTCACCATTACAACCCACTCTTTCGCAAAGCTGACATGAGGGAATCCCATTCATGTGGCCACAGAGCCTCACATCTTGAGACAACCAGGGAGAGCTGGGTCGCCGCTCACGAACCAGCACTGTGCGTCCCTCACCACAGTGCCACTCTCAGGGGATCAGCCTCTTGTTCCGGGACTATGCACCATGTCTGTGGGGTGGGCACCCTGTAGATCACAACAATGCAAGGCTTGGCCAGAAAATGCTCAACAACCAGCATGTGGGGCCTCGGGTCACACGACATGGAAGCAAAGCCTTGGAAAGGGCAGCCAGGCCCAGGGCTCCTGGGCCGTCAAACCGCTCTGGGAACAAGCACAACCTCCATGGGCCTCTCTAGGGACGCTGTGTGGGGGTGCAAGGCGGCCTCTGGTTTTACCTGAGCAGAAGGTCTAGCGACCTTTCACCTGAGGGAAGTCCCAGGTGAAAGGTGAGAAGTGGGCAGGGGTGATGAGCCCAGCCTCCCGGCTGCTCTCCACAGCCTGGCCACCCAGCTCAGGGTGCAGGACTCTGCAACTCCCAGAAGCTGTTTACAGAAAATGAAAGGGCAGATTCTTATGAGAAAAGTGGAACATTTAGAACGTCAAAACAAGGAGGTTAAAATATAATAGAAGTAAAGAAATACCAAGACCCACCGATGACTTTACCTGGAAATAGTCACAGACACACTAAAAACGGGCCGGAAGGAATTTCACGTCCTGCTTTCACCTACATCTAAAGGGTGGCGGGGCACACAGCAGCCAGTCCCACGCTGCACTCCAGAAACACGCCCAGGGACCATGTGTGGCAGCTCCAGAACACGCCCAGGGACCACGTGTGGTGGCTCCAGAACACGCCCAGGGACCACGTGTGGTCGCTCCAGAACACGCCCAGGGACCACGTGTGGTGGCCTGCGCAAACTCCAGCGTTTATTCAGTAGAGACCATAAAGTTGCCCAAGCGGCCTGTGCTGTGGTCCACGTTTTACAAACAATACTCTGTTCCTAATTCAAACAACTGTGTAAGTGACGCTATCCCCATTTTTCAGATGTGGAAAATGAGGCCTAAAGAGGTTTTAAAATCCTGCCAACCCCAACGCCAAATAGCTGGTAAATGCCGTGAGACGCTGGGCCAGATCTGACCACAGCCGCCTGCCCAGATGCTGGCTGTGGCACGTGGTCGAGTCACGGGAATAAAGAGAACAGAGACCTGATTTCCAAGCTTCCTCTTTATTAGCCGGCGACAGCCTTCATTACTCTGCACGCCAACCCCAAATTGCAACACTTCGGTGTTTGTGGAAACAAAGTTGCAAAGACATTTTGTTTTCAAATTATAGCGAAAATGAAACAAACACCCTCCGGCATCCAAGCCTCACAAGACTCTCCCACTTCTGATCCAGAGGCGCTGGGACAAAGCTCCGACAGCAGCCCTCCAGCCAGGACCCATGGGTTCCCGCTGCCCATTCTCAGCCGCCCATTTCGGGGCGTGCCCCCAGGGCAGCAGGCTGCACTCCATCCTCCCTACCACCATGCTGACCACTGACAGACCACCAGGCCTTCCCAGGATGGCAGAGATGGGGACCCCATTGGTTGTCCATCCCCACATGTCTCCGCACGGACCTTCAGGGCCCTGTGGCAGCCCTCCTCGGGCTTGGATCAGCGGGTACCCCTGCTGCCCGGTCACAGCAGGATGGCTGGGCATCTACTGGGGCAGCCCTGTAGCCAGCAGCAGGTCTGGGGGTCGCTCCTGCCCAGCCGGCCCGTCACTGCTCCTGGGCAGGTAGTGCTCCACTGAGGACAACCGTGCTCTGAAGACAACGTCCAGCTCCTCGATGAACCAGTGTGGCCAGCATTCACCAGCAAACGTGGAGGATCCCCGCCCTCACTCTGCAGCCTCTCTCCCTGTTCCCGCCCTCAAAGCGGCCAGCAGAGGGCACCCCGGCTCTGCCCCCAAAGGCCCTGGGCTGCCCTGACACCCACGCAGCACCGCTGTCCTCTCTCTTGGAGCCAGGCCCGGTGGGCAGCCGCACCACAGCCTCCTGTGACCTGAGGGCCAGCCAGGTGACCACACGGCCCCGCTCCCGGGTGGACCTGGGAAGGGTCAGCGGCGCCTCTACCACAGTGGATCCCAAACGCTGCCTCTCACTACTTGTGGTCTTATTACCAGCTGCCTCCCTCAATAATCCAAACCAGAACAGCCACCAGACCAGGGAGCTGGGACTTACGCGAGAGGGAGTGCGTGCCCTTGGGCAGGTACTCGAATAGCAGGGAGCTGTCCTCGCCCAGCACATCCGCCTTGAGGGACAGCAGGCTGTTCTTGCTCATGAGTGCCGCCCGCAGATTGGCCACAGCTGCCGCCTGGTGCAGCGCCTCGTCTTTCTCCGGGGTCAGGGGTGCGCCCAGGTAGCTGGCCTCCCCGCCCAGCAGGCCCTCGTCGGCATGTGCAAACAGCTCGGCCCTCTCCCCACGGCTGTCTGAGCTGCCGGCTTCGGTCAGGGTCAGGTCAGCATCTGGAGGACACAGAACACGCAGGTCACCTCAAGACGCTCAAGAAATGCAGCAAATTCAGGAGAAGCTGGGGCAGTGGGCACCCCGGCACTAAGCAGCTTGTTCAGCAGCAACGGAACCCACCTCTACCTGCTCTGCTTTGGTACACCTGCCCGGGTCGATTCCGGCAGCCCCGACCCCCAGGCCCACCAGGCTCCATGACAGCAGCCAAGTCACAGCCACAGTCTCGGATGAGAGCGTGACTCAAAACAACGTGTGTTGCCCCCCAGGACTCTGGCAGGACCTGGCTCCAGGGTGGGGGGCGTGGAGGTCGAGCTAGGGGAGGTTGCAGTATTTGCATCTCTCAAAGAGGGTGACATCTGCAAAGGGTCAGAGACTCAGATGTCACTAAAACCATAAATTCTCAGAAGGAAACAGAGGGGTAACTCTTCACAACCGTGGATGTGGCAGTGGGTTCCTACATACCACACCAAAAGTACAAGCAACAAAAGAAAAAAGATATAGATTGGACTCCATCAAAATAAAGAACTATCTTCAAAGGACTCCATCAAGAAGGTAAAAAGACAACCCATAGAATGGGAGAAAATATTTGCAAATCATACATCTAATAAGGGACTTGTATACAGAATATATAAAGAATTCTTACAACTCTATAAGAAGATGACAAATAATACAATTTAAAAAAGATCAAAGGACCTAAACAGCCATTTCTCCAAGGAAGATATACAAATGGCTAAAAAGCTCATGAAAAGATGCTCAGCGTCATTAGCCATCAGGGCAACGCAAATCAAAACCACCATGAGACAGCACTCCACCCCTGTGGTGTCCACTCTGGACTCGGGGACATCCTGGCACCCACAGCCCACGTGTCTGGCTCCACCATCCACCAGACGAAAAGAACTGTGAGTGGACTCCAGGCAGCCGCGTGGGCCGCACAGCGCTGTGGCTGGCGCATAGTAAGTAGGATTTCCACGACTAAATGAAGAGTGAGTGCTGGACGGAAGCCCCATCTGGCCAACACAGTGGTGAGAACAGCTGAGACAGGAATCATCGCAGGATTTGAGGAAGAGGACATGTCTGCGGTCCCGGTGTCTTCCAGGACACTTAGTAACGACAAAGGGGAAACCGTCCATCACACTGGAGAAACCACGCGACTGGAGCCCCAACACCAGCGACAGGACACACGGACCCGTGAGCCACCTGCCACAAGGCACCAAGGAGAAGACGAGATCCTCCTGCGGCCTCACCCCCAATGCAGAACCTACGCCCGATCAGGAGGAAGCATTACCAGACCCAAATCAGGACGTTCCACAAAGTGATCAGCAGCCCTCCTCACAAACATCAGCCGTGAAAGCACAGACTGCAGAGGACTGCCCAGGCTGGAGGAGCTCACGGAGACGTGAAGACGAAGGAGGGGACACAGGGTGGCCGGCCCACAGACCCGCACCGCCTGGACGGTCACTCCTGATTTGATCTTGGTGACTACGTCGAGAGACGTCTTCGCGCTGAGCAAACGCACATTAAAATCACGCCTGCAAGTTACTCTCAAACGTTTCAGAAAAACAGATAGATAGACATAAATGAATGTGTGTGGTGGAGAGACAATAAACGATAAGGCACGTGTGGTGAAATGCTAACATTTGGAGAACGTGGGTGAAAGTACGGGAAATTCTCTGTGGCATCTTTGTGACTTTAAAGAAAAAGAAGTTACAACTGTCCCTGCTGACTTTCTCTGCAAACCCCATGGTCCAGACCCACAAGCTCACCTGGCGCCGCACTGCAGAATTCACCACGCCTGTGGTCCCAGACTCCAGTGGACCGAGAGAGGGGCATTCCACCCTCAGTCTGATTCTTAAAGCACTGGTGGTCATGCTTACCACGACTATTTTGGCAAATCGTTTCTGGACAGGTGTTAGGAAGCCCAGAGAAGTGTTATTTCCTACCAATGTAAAATGCTGGGTGCTGAGGGTGCTGAGGGCATCCGAGCAGAAACAGCTGGTCCTTGAGCAGAGAATGAGAGCTTTCCTTCCTATAACTGATGCATTGTAACATTTTGAAAGTTTTGCTTACTTAAAATCTTTAGCTGAAAAGTGGAAAAGTGATTATAATGAAACTAAGCAGAATTTTTACAGATAAGGCTGGATTGCATGGTGTTAGCTGCAAAGCTGGGTATGAACAGATTACGGAAATGGACACCTCTACCCCAGGAAAGAGGTGTGAGAAAGGTGCGCTTCAGGGCCTGCGAGCAGAAACAACTTAGTGGGAACGCGGCTGTCACAAGAGGGGGTGAAGTGACCTCCCAGGTCCAGGAGGGAACCACCACACAGCCAGGTGTGTACAGGTGGGGAAGTACAGCCTGGTCTAGCGCAGGCATTCAGTTTCCTAAAGACACTCCTGTTATACCCCCAAAAAAGATGTGTTGAAGTCCTAACCTCTGTGCCTGTGATTGTGACCTTGTTTGGAAATAGGGTCTTTGAAGATGTCATCAGGAAGCAGAAGTACATACCAGAGTAGTGTGGGTCCTAATCAATCTGACTGGTGTCCTTATAAAAAGAGGAGACAGAGAGAGAGAGAGAGAGACAGACACAGAGGGAAGACAGTCATGCGAGGATGGAAGCAGAGACTGGAGTGATGCTGCCCAAAGACAAGGAACACCTGGAGCCACCAGAAACTGAGAGACAAGGAAGGATCTTCCCCTAGAGCCTTCGGGGAGCACCTGGCCCTGCCGATACCCTGAATTCAGACTCCCAGACTCCAGACCCGTGAGAGAATGAATGTCTGCTCTTGTAAGTCACCCAGTCTGTGGTACTTCGTTATGGCAGGCCTATACTGAACTGTAATTTTCCGTCCCCACTGGGGGAAACAAGGCAAAGGGTACAAGGGAGCTCTCTGTATTCTTTCTCACAACTGGTGTGACTCTACAATGACCTCAAAATGACAAAGTTGAATAAAATAGGGCAGACACAAGAGAAAAATGCCTGCCTTAAGTATTTTGCTCTTTTAAGAACTGTCTATATGCGATCAAATTGACAACAGCAACTCAAAAGTTTAGATAGGAACCTCAGGAGGGAGTGAATTTGTTAAGGAGGGAGGAACAACTCAGAAAAGGAGGGTAAGAATAGCTGTACAACTCGAAGAATGTAATCAATATCACTAAATTGTACATGTAGAAACTGTTGGATTGGTGTATGTTTTGCTGTGCATATTCTCAACAACAAAATAAATAAAATTTAGAAAAAATACATACTAAGTGAAAAAAAAGCAAGGCCTATAGAGCATCATAAAAAAAGAGCACATATGGTAGGGTACCATTATTGAGAGTTCTAAGTCAGAGGTGGTTGCCCCTGGGGCAAGAGGGCTGACGGAAAAAGGGACAAGGACGCATCCAGGGTGATGGAAATGCTCTTGGTCATGATTACAGCAGCACATGATTTGTCAAAACACATCAAACTCACCTGCAAGAGTGCTTACAATTCAAGAGAGAGGCAGCACACACAGAGAGTGGGGTGTGGAGCGACTGGAAAGTTTCCCACACAGCATGCGGGTGTAGAAAGGTACAGCCTTTGGAAGAAAGTCTAGCAGCTTGTTAAAAAACCAAACATACCTCTTCCTTATGACCCAGCAATCCCACTCCTAAGTATTTACTCGAGAGATATGAAAACACATGTCCACAAAACAGACTTGCGCACAATGCTCACTGAATCTTTATTCATAATAGACAAAAACAGTCTACTTCTGAAAAGAATTAGCCAGTGAAAACCTTATGAATAGCAGCGGAACATTGTTTGATATAGTGCCGGAAGATGAGCCCCCCAGGTTGGAAGGCACTCAAAAGACGACTGGGGAAGAGCTGCCTCCTCAAAGTAGAGTCAACCTTAATGACGTGGATGGAGTTAAGCTTTTGGGACCTTCATTTGCTGATGTGGCACAACTCAAAACAAGAAGAAACAGCTGCAAACATCCATTAATAATTGGAATGTGGAATGTATGAAGTATAAATCTAGGAAAATTGGAAATTGTCAAAAATGAAATGGAATGCATACATATCGATATCCTAGGCATTAGTGAGCTGAAATGGACTGGTGTTCGCCATTTTGAATTGGACAATCATATGGTCTACCATGCCAGGAATGACAACTTGAAGAGGAATGGCGTTGCATTCATTGTCAAAAAGAACATTTCAAGATCTATCCTGAAGTACAACGCTGTCACTGATAGGATAATACCCATACGCCTACAAGGAAGATCAGTTAATACGACTATTATTCAAATTTTGCAAGACCAATGACTTCTTCATTGCAAATACCTTTCTTCACCAACATAAACGGCGACTATACACATGGACCTTGCCAAACGGAATACACAGGAATCAAATCGACTACATCTGTGGAAAGAGACAATAGAAAACTTCAATATCATCAGTCAGAACAAGGTCAGGTGCCAACTGCAGAACAGACCATCAACTGCTCATATGCAAGTTCAAGTTGAAACTGAAGAAAATTAGAACAAGTCCATGAGAGCCAAAGTATAATCTTGGGTATATCCCACCTGAATTTAGAGACCATCTCAAGAACAGATTTGTCACGTTGAACATTAACGACCAAAGACCAGACGAGTTGTGGAATAACATCAAGGACGTCATACATGAAGAAAGCAAGAGGTCATTAAAAAGACAGGAAAGAAAGAAAAGATCAAAACAGATGTCAGAAGAGACTCTGAAACTTGCTCTTGAACATTGAGTAGCTAATGCAGAACAAAGAAATGATGAAGTAAAAGAACTGAACAGAAGATTTCAAAGGGTGGCTTGAGAAGACAAGGTAATGTATTATAATGACATATGCAAAGAGCTAGAAAACCAAAAGGGAAGAACACGCTTGGCATTTCTCAAGCTGAAAGATCTGTAGAAAAAATTCAAGTCTCGAGTTGCAATACTGAAGGATTCTATGGGGAAAATATTAAATGACGCAGGAAGCATCAAAAGAAGATGGAAGGAATACACAGA